ATAAAGCAAAAAATGTTAGAGCAAAAATAGGTAATAATTTTTTTAATTTATAGAAATTATATAATAAATAAATTTATATATAAATACCTTTTATAAAAATTAGCTAAAAATAATAAATTGAAACATCTTGAATCACCAATTATGAAATATTACATTTAATGTGTATATGCAGCAACTGCATATGCTAATGATCCTAATTTACTAACTTTAACTGAACAAGATCTGTTTAAAATGCAAACCGAAGGCATAATAGCACATTTGTAAAATAATTATGATGATTGTTGGAATGAAGTTTGTTAGTTTACAGAAAATCCTGATATAATACTTCCTGAACCAAATTTAATACTATATGGGACCCCCACAGCAAAAGGAGGCAGTGGGCCAAAAAAATTTTTTTTATTTTTAATTGATTTCTTGAAAAATTAGATTGATAGGAAACCAATATTTATAAAATTACAAAATCAAAATTTTTGTCCCACTGCCCCCTTTTGCTATGAGGGTCCCCATATACTAAAAGTCAATGTGAAGCTTTGTTAAAAGACTTAAAACAATATATGAAATTAACAGGACAAGAATTAATAACTACAATTCAAACACGTGCAAATGAAGCAGTAAATCATATTAAATTAAATTATACAGATAAAAAAACTAATTACTCCAAATCTTTTTCTGCTAGACATGCTCTTGCAGTTCTTCATAATAATGATGGACTTTTAACTTTGTTAGAAACAGTTCGAAAGATAGCTAAATTACCTGAATTTTCTGAACAAGACATAATTAATATTATAAAAATATAGAAAAACAGAAATGATAAATGTCAATTAAATATTTGTAAAATAAATGAACAAAATAAATCTAGATCAAACAAATTTAAAGAACAAAAAAATAGTTAGAAGAATTTGATTATGATAAGGTATGTTTTAAAATTGTTATTTTAATAATTCAATCTTATCTTTATCTTTTATATTGATACAATTAATTGTGATAAATTATTACAATTATTATATTAATAATTAAATATAATAATATAATTATAAAAACTTCTCACAATTAACTTCGATACTATAAAAGTTGGTTATGAAAACCCAATATTTTATTATTCAATTGTAATAAATCTAAGATTTTAGATTCGAATCCTAATTAATAAAATAATAAATATTAAATTATATTAATTAATTTATATACTAGAATTTGCTTCCTTATAAAATAGGAGTAAATGATGAAATATTAGAACAAAAATTTCGTCCTATCTTTGCATCATTAATTCGAGATTTTGATATTTTTGTTAAATGCAATGGGTGCTTATCTTTTCCAATAAAATATCCTGTCGGTTTATGTTCTATTTGTGGATTTTGGGCAAAATATGATATGAATAATTATATACCAATTCAAACCAATAATAATATATCCTTGGCCAAATCTTCAGATACAGATATCTTAGAGGCGGCACTTAAAAATATTTTTAATTTGTCAGAATATCAAGAATATCAAAGAGAAAGTATTGAATCTTTTATTAATGGGCATAATACACTTACGATTTTAAAAACTGGAGGTGGAAAAACATTAATATATGCTATTGCCTCTCTTTTATTCAAAGGATTAACCGTTGTTTTTACACCACTAAAGTCTTTAATGGATGATCAACTAGCAAGTATATATAACATTATAATTAAAATACACTATAGCGTAATTGATATTATTTTAGAATTTATTTAATGTCTACTAAAAAAAAAAATTCTAATTATAACCATTACACTATAATATATTATAATTGACAATGCTTTATATATAAATACAAACCTTAAT